CCTTCATAGTCTCACCTCTACTCCTTCATGGCCTCTGGTCTTCCAGACTTAGCCATTTCAGCAGCCTCTGGACCATTACATCTGGTCCTTCATAGTCTCACCTCTGGTCTTTCATGGCCTCTAGTCTTCCAGACTTAGCCATTTCAGCAGCCTCTGGACCATTGCCTCTGGTCCAACCATTGCCTCTGGTCCTTCATAGTCTCACCTCTGGTCCTTCATGGCCTCTGGTCTTCCAGACTTAGCCATTTTAGCAGCCTCTGGACCATTGTCTCTGGTTCAACCATTGCCTCTGGTCTTCCTCCATACTTAGTTTTTTTTAGCAGCATTTTCAGATTTTCCATCCTTGGCCCCGATTGCTTTGTCAAAACTTCTGGTTTAATTTAGGGTCAATTTGGTCATAATAATCAGTAAATTATATTTTATTGGAGATTTTATAAAATTAGTAATTTGGGGTTTGTTCGAGACTGATGTTACAAAATTACTTCGTTATTGTATATAAATTAAATTATAAAAAATTAAATTAAAAAATTACACAAAAAAATGAGGAATTTCAAATAGTTAATTTGATACTAATATCGATATATTTTTGTCAAATTTTTAGAATATCTTCAAACATATATTTTATTCAAAAATAAAAACATCATCGCTTTCTCAAAATCACATAAAATCATATTATAACATCGAATGAGATAAAGAATAAAATGAAATATTCAAATCACGATGTATCTCGCTGCATTGTGAGAGTACAGTTCTAGTATATATATATATATATATATATATATATATAAAGAGAGAGAGATAGAGAGAGAGAGAGAGATACGTGTGGTCATGTGAGATCAAGAGTTTTTCATGAGATCCGTAAGATTAATTCTCAACCCTTTGATTATATCTACAATATGAATATTCACAATCAGAAAATTGTCACGAGACTTCTCAATAATCACAAAATTATCACCGTGCAACTTTAAACCATTAGATCATTAGCTTATAAAGTTGATCAATGAACATAAATTATAAAGCATTTGACAAAAACTCTTAAAAACCCTTGATCTCACGTGAATTCAACCCTAATATATATATATATATATATATATATATATACACTATATTATAAAGCATTTGACAAAAACTCTTAAAAATCATTTTTTATGCATAAAGTACCGTATATTGATGCATATTACTTAAAATTCAAGATTACAAGTAATTATGCATTATGTACAACTTATTAAAGCTCAATGTTTGAATTCGTGTAACTAACTATGGATAAACATAATCAAATATAGGATAAACATCTCATTTTAAAATATAATTATGATAATTATCGAATTTCTAACCGAATGTTTAATTTAAATAGTTAATTTAATATTTATATCGATTTTTAAAAAAAATTATTCTATTTTCAAATTTATATTTAATTTAAAAATAAAAACATTTATCGTTTTCTTAAAATCATATAAAATTATATTATATCGATAGAGACAAATAATAAAAATTAAACATTAAAATAGAAATTTATTTCGTTGGATTGCACGAATACTCTCTACTATTAATAATAATTGAACAATATTATAATATTGATTTTAATACGTAAGATGAAACAAAATTATTAGTCTATAGTACTATAATATTTGAACTTAAGCTGTTTCGTGCCAAGTCCAAACAATATTTCGTCGCTTTGCAAACTTTTAAAATGAAAAAAAAAATTGATTTAATTTATTAGTACTATATTTGAGTTTTTAATAATACTTGTAATTTTCAAAAATAAAATTATTAAAGTATCTATGCTACCTTATAAAACAGATTTGTCAAAGGTCTTAAAAACAGTTTTTTAATACACAAAGTACCATACATTTATGAATAAAGTTTTAAAAGTCTTAAAAACAACTCATAATGCATTAAGTACTACTAATTTATACATTCAGTCTTAAAATCTTTTAATCTATAACATATAGTACAAGTTACCAATACACATTATTACATTTTCTTTTCATGTTTCTAAGATATTTTTGACACATTTCACTCATGTCTTCACCCTTCCATATTTTTATGTCTTCTCCTCATCTCCCAAGGTGAGATTCAAACTAATATTCACCATGAGTTATTAAAAGTTATCTCATTCACCTTTTATTCAATTGCTCTAGAACTCTCGGTCTCGCTCTCGATCTTTTGATTCTTCGCTCTTGTTGTAAATCGAACACATTTATGGAGTCATTTAAATATGTTGGATTTTAAATATATTGAATTCTAAATTGTTATACAATTTTTTTCATCGATAGACTGTAATTGGAACCATAACTCTCATTTATTCAAATTGTAGTAATATGTAAAGATCAAATGTAACTTATATTATCGTTAAATCTTCTCTAATAAAACCAGTGAAACTTCAAAATCGTTAAAATTCACGATTCTTGCCGCATTCGTCTTACAGGTCTCACGAAAAACACTTGGTCTCACATGAACCTAACCTTATATATATATATATATATATATATATATATATATATATATATATATATATA